CCGGGGACTTGGGGACCGGGCTGGAGGGTAAGGGAAGAGAAGGAGCCTGGCCAGGGCTCCTCGAAGGGGGAGGCCGAGCCGGTCGAGGGGGAGCAGGGGCAGGATGGACCCCCTGCCTCTGGTCGGCCCTCAAAATCCCCCTCGAGGGCTCATGCCTACGGGACGAGGGAAAGGTTTGGGGGACAAGGGCAACTGAACGAGGAGAACGAAGGGACAAACCAGAAACCGCGGGACATTTCTTAGGCTCCACAGGCACGCCGAGTGTCGCATGAACTCTGCGCGCGCAATACGCCACGGTGGCTAGTTTTGTCTCCCCGGAATTTATGGCCTCTTCTAATTTTGCCACAACGGCTGCCCAAAACCGCGGCTCTTTTACGCGTTCCGGGGAGACCTCGGGAAACCTAGAAAATACCCACTTAACTAAACATTTTAACTCCTGCTTGCGGGCTTTCTGACCACCCCCAAGCAACAAACCCTTCACAACATAATAAACCTCCTTCTGGGATTTTCCCATTGCGCCTTTCTAGAGCAGAAACTGCTACCGCTAGAAAGGGGGAAAATCCTCTGATGACGCAACCGCACGCCCGGGAAACAACGAGAACTTAAAACAATGAGCCGCCTGCCGCCGGCCCCTGCCCCCCCCACTGCCCCAAAGTCTGGGTAAACAGCCGGAGGGAAAAAGAGATTGGGTGATGGGTGCGGCCCCACGTCTGGGGAAATCCGGCACCCAAAGGGAAGAGAAAACAAAAACGGCGCGGGGACGAGGAAAAACCTCAAGGAGAGAAGGCGGGGGGGTAGGTCCCCAACGCAGGGCATATACCCCTAGGGAAAGTTAAAAAGGCAGAGGGGAAGCCGGAGAGTCCCCAGGACGGGGCCCGAACTCACCAATCCTGCTGCGGCGAGGCGACAAAGAAAAAACCAGGCGAAGGTCACTCGTCTCGGGGAGTCGTCCTCTGAGGGTGCGAGGAGTCCCGACTCCCTTCCGCCGGGGAGCGCTGCTTCTAAAACGAAGCCTGCTACTACCCGGGGTAGTCTGGCGTCCAGAGGGTAAGTAAATCCCAACTCCGCAGGGTCCAGTCCGTGGTCAAAAGTCCACTTCGTCGGCCCCAACGTTGGACGGCAAACTGCGCGAGGGCGTACACGGCCCTAAGTCCGGCTAGCTGAAGGGGTAAAGCGGCCGACGCCCCTGCGCATCTGAGGCCAGCCCCCCTTGGCGTCCTGGCCTCGGGCTGGGCTGGATTGCGGACTTGGGTTCGCGCTGGACGAGACGAGAGAGGAGGCGACCACTTGCTGGGGGTAAAACGTCGGTTTATTGAAGAGCCCACATGCAGCACAGGGCAAACCAACAGGTGGAAAAACCCACAGCAAAATGGCCCCGAACACGGGGGGAGACAGAGTTTTACAGGGAAGGGGTGGAGACGGGAGGGGAAGCCCAGCTAACCAATAGGGGAACATGTGGGGAGGTACATAAGAAAACTGACACAAGAACTTATCCAATAAACATAGAACAAAGGAGGGGCCCTGGGACGCCAGCCAACTATGACCCCCAGAGAGAAGAATGTTCTCGAAAGCAGGGAGGAGTGGGGGGTGATTGACTGGGCCCAGGGAGGAGGAAAACTTTACTTATATGGTGGGATAAGGGAGGAGCAGTTATGTAACTTGGGAGATTGACAAATAAGGGGGGCAGGGGTAACCGTGGTAACATAACTGCCAAAGACTCTGTGGCGGGAAAACTGGAGGGGGAAGAATCATCTTACAAAGAACAGGGAGAGAATAATACCTAAAATGGGGGAACAAAACAAGAAACTTAAAAACACACTACAACACATCAGAAGCAAAGAGCTTAGCAGGATTCAAAACAAGAGGGGACATTTCTGCAGATTATATTTGCAAAACTTCTGTAATATTGTAACAGCTTAAAAATTCTGAATATTTATCAAACAGCAGCTTTGGAGTAAATATAAACTATAGCTTTGGGATATGACTCAATCATTCATACATAATGGAAGTTTAGAAGCTTCTAAGGAAAGGAGCACAGGAATTATTCTTCCTAACAAAGTTCACTTTAAAATGTATGGATAACCGCTTCAATTTTTTTTTTTTTTTAAAGAACAGAATCAGATAAAATTACTCTCATTTTTCTTTGCTACAAGATATGCTTCTGTGATATATAGGCAATAAACTCCAGACAAACAATATAACATTCCCTCCAGAAATAAAATACTCATAGCTTTTTCACTCTGTTGTTTCCAAACCAGGCAAATAATTATTACGGAGGAGTCAATAAGAAAAAAAAAAGAAAAAAAAGAAAAAAAAAAAGGCATGTTTTTCTTTCTCTACTAATAATCTCATTTTAGACTCTCTTGAAAACAGTTGCAATTTTTGTCTCCTTACAGAATTTCCCAAAATTATTTCAAGTTTTGGTGAGCCTGACCCGACAGGCAACTAAAAACTTCAATGTGAGTTGTGCTTACCTTTGCATGCCCTGAACAGTTGTTTAGAAACAGAAAAAGAGAAAACAAAGCAGAAAAAAGAGACAAAAGAAACCCCACCAGAACCCCATGAGCAAACTACCCACCCCAAAAATGGCAACAAATACATTTAAAATTATTTTAAAGCCTCTTTTCCTATGCATGTGAGGAGAATAGACTGGGATTTGCAAAGCCATGATACGATTTTATATGGTTCCTAAGAGATGAAAACTTTAAGTTCCTTTTAAATTTCTATCCACTACACTTTTTATTATACAAAAGTGTAGACAATTATAAGCTAAATTTAACTTGTTTCTCCCTTCCTACTTTAAGATCATTTTGCTTCCATTCCTGCTTTAAATTCTTTCCCTTAAAGTTAAAATAAAGTCAAATACTGTTAGAAGTTACAAATTTCAAAGCATCATGTCAATAAATGAAAGGGTTTGGTTAACAATGAACACTGAAGTTTTATCAAGAGACAATCAATCTCAAGATGGCGAGAAAAGGGAATTTAAACTACAATTTTTAATGAATACTGAATAGCATTAACACTTACTGGCACATTTTTATAGATAATTGCTTCAGGCCTGACTATATTGAAGCCACAATAAAAAAAATGAAACAGGCTGAGTATGATAAGTGGCTTCTGAGACAGAAATATTTATCCTTTTATACTAACAGAGGGGAAAAGACACAGAGAAGAATACTTGAGCCCACACCGAATATAGCAGCATCCTCCTCACACGTTCTACTAGACTACAAGTGTAAGGACTCCACAAGAACACACATCTCCACAATTGCTTTTCTTGAAAAAGAAAGGCCAGACAAAGCAGAAGCTCCAACTCACACTCTTATATGATGGTAGATGACACAGATGCTCCTGTTCCCACCATCTGCTGGTATTCTACATAGTGTTGCTCATTTTGGTTAGTCTTATCTCCTCCTCCAGACTGCATCAATCACTTGGTCTCTTTCTTTCACACCCACACTTTCAACTAGGCTTGAACAGCTCAACCACACCGGCAGTCAGGAAAATCAGAGGCACTTATCTCAATCTTTGTGCCACTGTTACTTCTGTTTCTTTTTCAAATCTTTATTTTGGTGAAGAGAAAACCCCACCATGGTGAATTCTTACTAGGAGTTTGTCCAGGGAGGTGAATTCTATAATATGATACAACAACAAGGGCTATTACTTGTATTATGCCTTTGGAGAGAATAATGCAGAAGTAGTAAAAGTGGTTCAAGTAATCCTCTAACATTTAAAAGGCACTTACCCATGAGGCAAATGAAAATATGGGAAGTGCATGAACTGTGAGACTCAGTATAATCTATTTTTATTGCTTACTGCAAAAACCTTGCCCATAAGTATTCTCAAACAAGATGAGGCCATAAATGCCTAAACACAGTACTAAATGAATAAAATAAACTATTATAACAATTCATAGGAATTTTATAACCCATCATCACCATGCATAAGGATGTATCAGTCCAGTGACTTTATTAAAATCAAGATTCCAGCCTCCCACATGCTGTTCTATTGGCATATAAACATCACAGGGAAGCAACAGATGGGGTAAATAAAAAAAGGAAAAGAAGCTTGGTACTGCAGAACAAACAGCCACAACAGGTTGTTTTGGGATGTGACACAACAGGAAGGAATTGCCTCAAAGCGCACAGGATGGCTTTGGAATGCAGCACTGGGTCCCAGCATCACTCTTACACATGAGACCAGCTGCCCATCTATGTGTTAAGTAACTTGCATGAGGAAGGAGGCAATATCTTCTACATCATCCATTATCGCTGGAAGAAGAAGGAGGCACTGTCTTCAGGGTAGCCCTGGGTTACTTAAAAAGATGTTTCCCCAAATTTTATCAGCACAGCTTACAAGGGTTCAAGGACAGGCTCCATTTTAATCACTGCAATGGCAAATTGGACATTCAAAGGCTTTTGGGACACCTGTGTTCTCTATTCTCCTTTTTCTCCAGGCCATACACATTGTTATGATTCTCAGATATCTCTCTGGGTTATGAGGCCAAACGTTAGGGTTTCAAACAAACATTACTTTGGAATCCTTTTCTTATGCCAACTAATTTAGATTAGCTAAAGGAATGTCCATTTTATCCTCATTGCTCCTTTATTCACTATAAACTTGTCATTTTTCATGGCATAATGTTTGTCTATGTTATTAACTCTACCCAGACACATAGCCAAACACAGCACAATGTTGCTCAGCCCCCTGTCATTTTCTGATCCTTTATAAAATGCTAATGTTCCAGAATATTTAAATTGTTAATCAAACGGTGGTGCTAACAGGTTTAAAGCCATGACTGCACTTTAGCACAGTTCATTGCTCAGAACTTATGAGGTCACTGGAGTCCTATTGAGCAATCAATTCTGTTCAGTTACAGCTGTAAATTCTTAGCAGCTATAAAAGTGCCCATTTCATACTACAAATAAATATATTTTAGCTCCTCGTCTGCATGATTCAAAGTCAGAAAAATATAATTTATATTGCTGCCTCTTCCTTACCTTCTCATGTCCTCCTTTATGTGCAGATTTATTAGTTCTTTAGGAACGTGGAAGGAGAGGGTGGTCTCAGCCATCTGCTCCCGGATCCGCATCCACTTGTTGTCAGAAGTAGGGAATCTATACAACTTACAAACAGGGTTTCTCAACACTGCAAAGAGCAAAAATAATATCATTGCTTTCATGTGCTTATATGAGTCCAAACATTTATGACAATAACCTGCATAATTATTATATTATTTCCCCCTAGCTTACAAAATTAATTTTAGTATCATTAAAATTCCACTAAAAACATTTAATATCTATTTCATTTTTATACCAGCATGTGGAGGGCAAAGTATTACTAGTACATCAATAAATCGCATTTTACCAGCAGAGTAGCTAACTTTTGAATTTAGGTCTTCAAAGTAGTGAGAATGTCAATCAGACTCTCTTTTCTTGCATTTCAGCTGGAGTTAGGAAAACCAGAGAGCACAAATGAACAATGAACTCAGTACAGCCACCACCACAGCTTGCCAGCACCACTCACAATTCCAATAAATTGCACAGGACTCAGGGTTCAGCTGCATCTTCCCCTGGACATGCACACACAAATCATTAATGCAAATTGGAGGTGTGCTTCTGCATTAAAGGAAACTTGAACATATTAGAGTTACCTGGAACTTTGATGGGGTCAAGACACTGCCACTACATAGAAATAAATATAACAGCCCTGTCGATATGTTACACACACAGTTTTCAGATCACTATTGCAATGTGACATAAGAACATCACTTGACTTGGAATGAGTGACAGCTACTAACAGTGACAGCTACTAACAGACATTTCAAAGACACCATTAATGTTTATGTAGTCTGCTTTATAGAGAATTAAAAATAAAAGGTACCCAAACTGCCTTGTCTATCTAAGCAATCAGGATTTTTAACAAATATCCTTTAGGAAAGGCCTAAAAGAAGACCAGAGATTTAAATACACTGATAATAAACCCACTGCTTGCAACCCGAAGAAAGGAGCAATGTTTAAGTGGTCGCACTGCTCTATATTCCCATCACTCCACTGAGATGTCTTTCATCAGCAATCTTGGATGAAAAACTGTTGTTGGATTATGCCCTTTTCTGATCCAGAGATGGAGCAACCGAGTCTTAAAAAACTTTTATTCTATTTTCAATCTCTTGGGAAGGGTGAGACAATACAGATGTTATAATTTATGCCTTTACAATCAGAAGCCAACTATTTCTTAATTACAGTACATTATAAGCACTTCTTGCCATTTTATTGTCATTTTATGAGCCTTTTTAGAGTAATTTTGCCTTTAGTTCTTAGTGATTTTACTTTCAAAAACTAAATTTTCACTCAGTATTGTGAAATAAGCGAAAGAGATGCTTAATTTCTCTGACATATTAAAAAGAGCAATTTTTCTTTACTATCAATACCCAAAATATCTCAATGTTCAAACCTCAGGAAACTAAGGGCTAATTCAAGGGCTAATTCAAGTCTGGCCTTAAACAGAAAACTGCCAAACCAGATGATAATTTTGAGTTGGTACTGTTTTTTCTGTTGTGCCCCCCGATCAGCATATTACCTGGACATTTTAAATGATGATGCCCCTGACACAAAAGATTCTTTATTTTACCTTTTTATATCTACTTCCTAAGGAGTTTATCAAGGGATTTTTTCCAAGAGCAGCCCTTAAATTCACACTCAGAATCGACTACACTGAAAAATGCACATTAATCTGTGAGAACCTAATGCAAATATGTATCTGAAAAATCTCTTTCCTCCCATCTCCCCAATGTTGCCACCATCACAAAGTAAAACAAAGCCCAGAAAACCCATCACAACTGCACCAAGGGACAAAGAACACTAAAAATATGGATTCAAAGTTGTGACTTTTATTGTGGCTAGAATTATTAAACTCCTCTCCAGGTACTGGCTTCATCTTCAGGTCTTTGATTCAGGTCTGAATTTTCAGATGGGGATAATCTCAAGTGTGTTGTAAGTTTTTTAAATGGTCAAATCCATGGGTTTAAGAAGAAAATTTCATTTACAAAGTCAAAAAAAGCCTGGGCATTTTCCCCAAATAATCCCAATATGCAGTATTGCTAAAGCTTAAGATTTAAGGCCAATAAAAGCTGCATAAGTACTTGATGTTTTTTCCTTATAAACAGAACTACTGAAGGCATGCAACTCCATAAAAATCTCAGAAGTATCTTCCCCTCCAACTGCAACAATAATTAATTTCTACCTGTAACAAGTTGTCTAGAACCAAATTCTAGAGGGCATGTACAATAAGAAGGGTGAGACTAGAATTGGTTTTCATAAAAAGTAGTGATTAAAATGAGTGGAAGTTTCATAAAGATAATCCTTGCTGTACTCAGACAGTGATCATGAGAGGCATTGAAGAAAACCCAAAATCCACATGAACTGCAGTGGTTAAAAAAGAGAAAACTCTGTTTTAAAAGCTTTTCTCCACAGCATCAAGCCTGAAAGCCAATGCCATATATTTACCCATGAATATTTTTGGACATTGTCATTTTTAATATGAAGAACCTCTGTGCTTTTTATTCCATGCAATATCCTTCACATTGCTTCCCCTGAAAGTACAATAAAAATAATAAAAGATTGAATACTCTGGTTTTATTTTCATTCCCTATTGAACACAGATCAAAGCATATCTTTGCCATATATTAATTTGCTAACAGTGTTCCTATTTATATCTTTCTTTGTAGCATAGGAATATGATGTGTATTACCTCAGGAATAATAATTAAAGCTTTCCTAATTTTGCTTAATTTCAATTACTTTTCTTATCTTTCTTTTTTAATTTAGAATGCAATTTGTTTACATGTAAACAACTGGCAAACTCTCCAGCATTATAAATAAGTAACTGAATTTTGAGACGTAAATTCAGTCTCTGGAGGTATAGAAGCAATAGTGATAAGGCTCTGAAACACACTGCTTATTCCCACTCGCTCAACAAGCATCTCATAACTCACTGGAGGGCTGAGAGTTCCCTATCCTAGGATTTAAATTTCACAAGAATGCCAGCATGCTTCTATGCCTACAAGCTTAAGGATTCACAGAGGCAGCTTTTTTTTTCAGTTTCATCATTTTGAAGGCCTGATAAACAACAAGAAAATACCAGAAAGCTTTACAGCAGCATACACGTGAACTAAATATGAATGTATATGGAAAACATACTGTTCTGGGGGCAGTTCTGTATGAGCACAGCATGTCAGCAGGAAAGTGGAGGTGATGCTGCACGAGAAGAGAAAGTCACAAATACAGGAAACAGACTGAAGACTAATTATTTATCTGAGAAAAACTTCCTGTGAGTGCAAACTCTTCCCAATAGCCTGCATGCTGTCATTTCTTGCATATGCACCTCTTTCCCCTCAACTCTTTAAAAAAAGCCTGACAACCCAAAAAATGACAAAAAAAAAAAAAAAAAAAAAAAAAAAGCTCTTCAAGGTGTGTTTGACTTTATAACTTTATAAACCCGAGTAGTGTTGGGTGGGCTTTGGTTTTATATTGTGTTTGTATATGACAATAACAAATGTGAAAACGCTGCCTAGATACACTGTAGAATCACATGGAAATATTCTTGACAAATTGATCGAGACTTCAATATTCCTAAAACTGACATCTACCTTGGAAGTTCCAACAAAACATATTCACAACCTACAGCATTTTCCTATACAAAAGAAGTCAACAAAAAACCCCAATCAGACCTATACAAGGGAGGCAACAAACAGAAAACAATCTGTTGTGAATCAGCATCGTTCTCTGGCAGAAATGTCATTTCTTCAAGTCTCACTAATCTGGATGACATACAGAATCACAACCAAAGAACTGCACTGGGCTAGATGAAATCCTTCACCTGGCCTCTGTATCTTGTGCCCAAGAAAAGCCATAAATACACACCTGGAGACACAGGATACCCTCCATGCCTCCAGCTATTTCCAGTTCAGGAATTTCTGGAGCCGGATGTAGCTCCGGCACATTCAGAAATTCTCAATTAACATCTTTCTCACTTTGAATTGATGAAAATAAATGGTATTTCTCTAGAACATATTTTTTCTGATTCTGATCTAATCTCAACAACTCACAGAAAAAAAATGCAATATTCACACACATATGGAAGAACTTAATTTTTGGCAGTTTTTAGGGCTTCCTTCAGACTGCAAAGCAGATTCAGAAAGTCTGCCCTATCAGAGAAATCAGATTAAAAAGTTTCAAGAAAGATTTTAAAAAGTTGTAAAAGTTTGGTAACATTCCTCCTCAACGGTATGTAGCAAACACAGAATTCTTGACAGTGCTGTGGTTTTAGATGACCCATATAACTTATTTGTGACATTGTTATTGCCGAGTAATGGAGATTCATAAACTCGGGCTAATAAAGGTTTTATGGCACAGCACATCAGCATGTAATACTCCTCAGATAATGAAAGAAAAACAGATCTAGTTTAACACCATGCACTCAAGCCCAAGCTGGCCTAGAATTGAGAATGCCTTGCCAACAGCTCCCTTCATTCTAGGACAGACAGTTTCCAGATCAATCTGAAACTGCCACTTCACCAGTTATGAATGAGAGAGATTGATTGTCCTGGGTATTCACTTACAAATAACGCAGAATTATTTTACAGAATGCCGTGCAATGACACAACAGAAACTAATGATGGTAATTCCATGCCCATGGAAGTCACTGACAGTGATTTTTAGTCACTGAAAATCACTGAACAGTAAAGATGCAGGAGATGGAGATTTCAGCACTGCTTCAGAAAGCGCAATTGACACACACTTATTCAAACTTCTCCGTGAAATGATAATGCCAAACATGTATAAAACACTAAAATATTGAACTTGAACATCTGTGCAGCATTTGAAGAGACATTGATGAGCTCTGCCACGAATCTGTGTGATTTCTACAGGACCAGAGGTGGAGTTGCAAGAGCTGTCTCTTACAGATATTGGAATTCTTACCTGCATTTAAGGAAGGCAGGTTGTCCTTCCCACTTATGCCCTCAGTGGCTGTACACTCACGAACCAATGCACACTGCAAAAAAATACAATACAGATGTGACACATTCAGGGGGTCTGAGATAAATCCATGGCAGTTTATAAAAGGTAGGCTGAAAACCATGAGTGATAATAATACAAACTTCCAAAGTCTTACTTAGAATTTACATTTTTCTTTATATTTCTGTTCCAAGATACTGAAACACAATCAGAATTATAGCCAAGAAAATGAAAAAAATATGATCAGCTGTTCCATAACAAAACAGAAATGTTTCCTACCAGTATTATGGCAGAAATGTTGAGAGATAGTAATAGTTTAGCTTAATACGTTTTACTATAAAAATAAGGCACTTTAGTTTAAAACCATTTTTGACAAGTTCCATACTTTCGAAGAGGTTTCTTTAGACAAAGCAGTTTTCACATGCACAGTGCAAGAAAACCCTTCATTAATTTTTAAACAAGGGAAAAGCAGGAAGCACAAAAAAGTCCTTAAAATGTGCTCAGATTTTGTGATTCACCAGTTCAAAACTTATTTATTTTTTATTAATTCAATGACTCACCATTCTCACAATTGCATCCTCACTATCAACATATAATCCAAGACTGTGTTGCCACTGATTTGTACAAACCAAGGACTCCTTTAAAGACCATACATTGGTCATGAGTCTGGTCTCTCTTTACAAGTATTAGAAACCCCTAGAAAGCTGCTATTAAAGCCTTCTGTGTCCCCCAGGCCCAACAGAGCTCAGTAACTACATCTCCAATAACTGCAAGGAGTCTCATTCCACATTCTGCAGTGGAAGAAAAGCCAAATAAAAGAGAAGGCTGAAAAAAACAGCTCATGTTGCCTATATTGTGCAAGTTTTACGGGTCAAAGTCAGGAAGATTTCACAGCATTTGTTGCTTTTTTGGAACTGGTCACACTCATCTAAGGCATTGAAGTTCTCTGAGATAAGCAGTGAAAAAAAAGTGTGAAATTTACCCTCAGACTGATTTTGCTATGCAGAAAAGATACTGAAAATAATGTCCTCTGCTCAAAAAATAGTTTTATATGTAACTTCCAAACAAAAAAATCCTGCATTCCCTGTAGCAATATTTCCTTTTATTCAGGAAGAACAGGATACACCACAGTGTTAAGCAGTGAACTGTTGTATTCTGGCTGCAAAAATTGTGTGCTCCCATTTAATGCAGATGAACCTGCCCCTTTGCAAGGGAATTTACCTCTTCTTTGCTTTGCCTGTCTGTCATTCTTCCAGCTTTTCAGTATTGTGGGCACAGATTGCACATAAAAATCAACATAAACAGGACTTCAAGGGCAGAAACCAGACCAGCTGTCCAAGGGAAAAAGAAGCTGTATTTATGGCATCTCTCTGGACAGTTTTTATCAGAAGTGATCAAATATATTCAGTTGAGACAAAAATAAGCTATTTTTTTCTTCAAGAAGGAGAGGGCCTAGGAAACTCAGGTTAGGATATTACTCTGTACATCTTCATGAATTTGGTTTTTTTGGATGAGGGAGATAAGTTTACACAGCACTTGCGCCACAAATTTTGTTTTAAGTTCTTAACCCAATTTGGTAATTAGTATTTTAGACATCTGGTACAACAGATCATTCTAATTAACTTTGTGCAATAAACTGAGTTTCTACCTTTTGATCCTGAGCATCTGCTGTGATGTGGTCTGTTTCCCCCTCATCCAGCTCTCCCATCTTCATAAGATTGACTTCAATGGTACCAACTGTCTTTCCACCATCAGATGTCCTGGGAAAAAAACCAACCCATGACACCGGGTCACTTGCAGCATCAAATCCTTTCAATTAGAATAACATCAGTAAATATTTAGTGCCCTCTCCATTCTGTAAAGTGCAGCCACCGCTACTGAGCTGGCTATTTACCATCACAAACCAAATGTTAACAACAATGAGGCAACTTCTTCAGGACAATGAAAGCTCTCATCACAACACTGAGGACAGGTAAGTGCTATGAATGGTGCATGAATCCATGAACACTGCCAGGTTCTCATTCTAGACCTTATCCTCTTTGTGGACCATTGGATAAAGGGCTGTAACACTGCACCAATATTCCACTTAGGATCTGCAATCCCAATGCAGAGTACATGGCTTTGTTTCCTAACAATCTGCAAAGAAAGGACAGAGTGTATTAACAGAATCCCTGCAAAACCAAAACAGTGAAGCTAATCTGAATATCACGTTTCCCTTTGTAATCCCTCCACAGAGAAATTATTCAGAATCCATCCCATTTCTTGAACTATATGGGAATGGTAGTATAGTTACAGGTGAATTCCTTCATTATCATCCCCATAAATAGTTTACTTTCAATTAATCAAAAACAAATAATTTAGATGTACATCACCGAGGGAAGAGCATTGCTGACTTCCTTTAGGAAGAAACAAGGATTTAAACTCCTGAAAGATACCAAATGCTTTTTCAGCTTTCACTGGCAGCACAGCACCAAGTTTATCTCCCTGACTTCTTCTGAACAGCTAGATTTTTTTTTTTAAAGGAAGGAAAGAAGAGTAACTGATAGTTTCATAATAATGAGGAAAGGGTAACAAAAGGCACCAAGCAAAAATAGGCAAAAAGGAAATGACGAGAATAAGTTCAGCACAATTACAAAAACACAGCGAGGAAGGAGAATCAAAACAAATACGTGTGGGGCAATACTGTGTCTTTTCTGAGCAGTGGAAATGAAGAGTGATGAATCAAGAAAAAAGAATACATAGAAAACTTCAATGTCATAAAATCATTAAACCACAGAATTATTGAATATGCTGAGTTGGAAGGGACCCATTAAACAAGTTCAGCTCGTACAGTAAAGTCTCAAAAAATAGTTACCCCCAAGCTTTCAAATTAAATAATTATCTTCCTTGAAAACCATTAGGCTTTACTATGCACTCAGTAGAATACACTCATCTTGCAACTACACAAATCTGGTCTTCTATAAAACCTTGCAAAATAAACATAATTCTTCATATTTTACATGTGTAAAACTTCATCTGCTCTAAGCCAAATTAATTACTGACAATAAAGAGACTATTAAAAATGAACCAGTTCCAGATATTTTTGAAATTGAAGAAGCCTGTATTAATTTAAGAAGTATCCAGAAGAAAAGCAGTAAGGGTTCAGTGTCCAAATTATGAGCAGAAATACATAATAATATTGAAAGGGCCTTCTGAATGAAGAACTTTCTCTGGAGTTGCTACAGCTGTGTGGCTTGACTGCTCCTTCTTGTGTCAAACCAGCACCCAAACTAGGCTCTGTCAACAAATGCACTGCAGCATCCCCAGCAGAAAGGGAATACAGCAGATGTCAGCAAATCACATATCTTTAGAAGCCAAAGTGTGTGGTTATGAGACTGACAATTTTTCAGGAGCTTAAGGTGTTCCGATCAAAGTGCCAAGCAAATGAACTGATCCAAACCAACAGGGCCTGTTGCTCCAGTAAAATGGAAATGCTAACTACACTTTCTCATCCTTGTCTCCTGTTCTTTAGAATCCTAAATATTTCCCTTGGTGCTATTATTAAAAGCTTGGCCTCAGTATGATAACGAGCATTGCACTGTTTGCCTGCACAAGGAGCAATATGTATTTTGTATGGGTTTAAAAACAGTGATTGATATAATTCCACTTTTATATATTTTTTTATTATTATTTTCTTCTCAAAATCACTCCTGTTCTGGTCTAATACATATTTAATACTACAATCTGTTACAGGTGTTACCTGTAAGAGAAGGTAATGCAACACAATAAAACTAAACAGTGGGACTTGTTGCACTGTAGTTGCACTCCTTTCTCCAGTTCTTATCTTCCCACACAGAAATACGAAGACACATTTTAACGAAAAAGGCAACAACAACAAAATCAACAAATCCAAACCCAAAGTTTCTTTTGAATGCTACAGGCATACAAATCAACAAAGAGCTCTGTAAATGCCCAGGGTAAAACTGTCAGACTGATTTTAAAACACCAGCAGTGCTTGAGAGTCTTCAGCTACTTGAAAACACGCATTTCAAACTTTCCAGCAATACCATGAGATTAAAATTTCATTTGAAAGAAAATTTAAAAAGAGAAACAGAAGTGACGGAGTGGGAAAAAAAAAAAAAGCTTAGTGATCATACCTTAGTAGGATAAAACCCTGCATAATTTTACTTTGCACTAACAGTATTGAGCACACACACACATTATGTATACACCTCATGTCCTTTGCTTGTAGAGATGTAAAAAGTCTCACACAGACACACTGTTCAACACAGCACCAGATAAGGAATCAATTGGTTTTAGGATACTTCACAATGCATTAGAATGAGATCAGCTTATTTGCTGTAGTTTAATAAAGCTGAGAAGGGCACTCTGCACTCACACGGTGCAGTGAAGACGGTCCCTGCACCAAATTGCTTTCAGTCATGAGTGAGGAGACACATCCCCACAAAACAAAGGACTGCACCTTGACAACCTGCTTAGGGCGAGTTGGGATGGGGAATCTGGCCAAGAGAATAAACTCAGCATCAACATAAGAAGCCCATACACGGGACAAAACCCACCTGGCTTATGGAGATGGAAAATTGCTGATATTTTTTGGCACCCTGGGACAAGGATCAGCACTCATCTGATACCTGTCAGCAGAGCACCTGCATTTGAAACAGATTTCTCTACTATCCCAGGTCCTTAAGGATCCCCAGGTCAGTATTAGTTCCCCCAAATGTGAGGGAAGGAGATAGCCAGTAACACCACGAGCAGCAGGAATCTGTGCCCACCTTACTCCTTCTGGCCATAAAATGCTGACCAAGGCATCCAGGGAGAAAAAAGGTAACAAGCTAGTGATGGAAAAGTAAGTGAACAAGATGGACTGAGAACAGCAGGCATTTGCCTCCAATCTTCTAAAAAAAAAAAAAAAAAAATCAGCTTTTATTGCTAAATTAGCAACCAGTATACCTAGCTCTTATTTAGAAAGGAAAAAAAAAAGTGTGATTTTATTTTTTTCATCAGACACACTGTATCATACACTCAATATTAAGAAACATTCTCCTACTGAAAAATACTTCTGTTGCATTCAACAGCCCATTTTTTGCCTTTCATCATCACAACTGTATGAGAAAGCTGGAAGCAAGTGACATTGCGTTATCACTGCAAAATGAAACATGCAAGTCTATAGAAAACCTCTCTCTTCTTATAAATTCCATATTGAAAACTGCAATCCCAAATCTCTAATAACTAAATTCCTCTCCCAACACCTGTTGTGTACACTGAAGTAATTCTGCAAATCAATCTTTTTGTGTTTTGATGATTACTGCATAGATCTACCAGAAACACTCAGCCACCAGTTTAGGACACCTTTATGGAGAAGAAAGGACAATCAAAATAAAAACTTCTTTTGCAGAGGTTTTGTAACTTGTGTCCCTAATCACTATTAGGGCACAATGGTAGAAAAAAAGGGAAGTAGAGCACTGTGTGTCAGCAGTAAGAATTTGTAGACACAAGCCAGCTCTCCACAAAATAACAGAAAAACACAAGAATGCTCCTTTGAAAACACTTTTATATTGTTCCATTGTACCTCAGAAAGATAAAGGAAAAACATAACTAAAAAAAAGGAAAAGAAAAAGAAAACTCAGTTAAAAATTAAGCAGATTCTATAATTACACCAATCTTTACAGGGCACACCACAGAGCTATTTCTGGGTCCTTAAATCTCTACTTTAAATCTAACAAAGGAGTATCTCAATCACAGGCATGCCCTGATAAACTCCTATCCAAAGAATATCAACAAGAATTAAATAGAATTTGTTGCTCTGACAAGTCCCTTGATATATCCTCTATCCTCCTGAGAGGTACTAATATTGCAGGGTAATTAGAGGAAAGCAAGCTTAAATAAGTAGACTGCTCTGGTTAAATTGCCATCAAAGAAATGTGGATCATTTCTACTGACATTCTGCTGCCCAATAGTCATAACCAGAAAACAAACCCACTTTTGAAAGGTTAGGATGTTTTTCTTAAAAAATATCCAACTGACTAAACCCTACCATTTAATGTGTCTGCAAATTAAATTTCATTGGTACATTTGTATTTTAGTGTTAGCTGAACAAAGAGGGCAACCAAGACTAAAAATATTAATGAAAACCAATTTTTTCATCTATTTCTTATGAGTTTTCCATCTTAACTTTTTGCTTACAAATTGGATGGCTGAGATACAAAATATTTACTCTGAAACCGAAGCTTTCCGTTCTGTCAATTACTGTGCCACCTGTTGGAGACAATCTTCCAGATCAAATTTTCAATATGTCAGTTAGGGAAACCAAATTTATCCCAAAGAGCTGAAGACAACTTGAATTCCTGTAAGAACAGATTCTTACGATCACTAAGCTGGAGTTCATCAACCTAGGTCTGTACCCTGTCACTGATTAGAGTTCTGTATCACACCCCCTGCAGTCTCAGTGTAGCTGCATACAACGAGTTCAGGAGACCACAAGCATTTTCATGTGGGAGACACCTTCAATAATTAGGACCACCTTCTTTAAACGTGCCTAAAAAAACCTGTACACTGCTAATTCTTTAAACCACACACACCAAACAAAACTGACAATTTTATGCTCCTTTCTAAAGGAAACTTTGAATGAATATTCCCTATGCCAAGTTCTCTACAATTCTTCCATAGGTTATCATGGTATAAAATGAGCTTTTCTAATCTGGCACATGGGAAGCTCACTTGCTACCTCTTGGGAGAAGAGACCAACCTGCATTTCTCAACATGGCCTTTCAGTTAACTGTGGAGGGTGACAGGGTCTGGCTGAGCCTCCTTTTCTGCAGGATGAACATGCCAGCTCCCTCAGCCATTCCTTGTTCGACTCGTGCTGCAGACCCTTCCCTATCTCTGCTGCCATTCTTTGGATGAGAAATGCCAAAGGTTAGTACTTAGAAAAACCCTGATTTACAACACTTACCTGAGGGTGAGGGTCAACTGCTGCTCCTTTGACTTTACCAGATCACCCACTCTAAAAGTTGCACAGCCCAGGAAGCTTCGCTACAAATCAAAGCAGAAAGAAAAGATAACATATTCATTCATTTTTGTTATTTCTTTTGCTCACACACTTGAAAATCTTTCTTTGCTACAAAGAAAAATATTGCATTTCAATATAACAGTTTGATACTTAATCCTCTAGAATTTTTTTTGTGCAGCATGATTATCAGTAAACTGTTAAAAACTTTGGTTTTATGGGCAGGAACCTTTCTCATTTCCATTAAGAACAGTCTAACAACCTGACAAAATAACAGGTTGTAAGATGTACAGCCACAGGAAGATTTTCATTCAGTACCAGTATTTGCATTTTGCATCTGTTCCTTCCTATTTTTCTAATTTCTGGATTACAAGAAGTGCTAAGTTTTCAGTGTTATACCAAAGTTGTTCTTGTTATGGTTTTTCCTCAAGCCATTGGCACTACCATCCATGTATTCAAAATATGAATGTATGTGCTAGGAAGGCATTCTTAAATTGAGTTCAGCACAAGTTTATTAATAGAAATGTTTTATTTCTCTAGTTCTTGGCAATGTTTTAAGTAGTGTTTTCCTCTATTTCCATTGTAAGGTGAACTTATTTACTGCATTAAAATTGCAGAGAAATGTGGTAATGTAACTAGAATGCCTAAAGTTAAATTAGGCTACACCACTGTATCTTTTTCTTCTATAAAAATCACTCTTCACGCATAACAAAGTACAAAGAGGAAAAAGGGTTAAATCTTCTCTTGCACTTGGGCTATTTTTTAACCTCTGCTCATATCCTGCTGAGATCCCATTTTGTCAATTTGGCCAGCAGTAGTATTCTTGCCTTGGGAACAATGGGCAAGAAACTAACAGCCATCTTCTACCAATTTATCTTTCAAATGTACAACACAACATCACTTGCTCTAAATAAATTGTAAGAAGATCATGACATTATGTTTAATTTTTAGCAAAAAAAAATAAGAAGGGCACAAAGTTTGGTTTTTCTTACATAACACTAAGTTTACTGTTGGAATGGCAAATTAGAATTCCAGGCTAAATTATATACATTCTTGGCTATACAAATGAAAGAAGAATCAAGTTGCTCTGAGTCAACAGAGGCTGCCTACAGAGAGCAATGTTCTCTTCAAGGAAAACAGAAAAGAATTTGTCACTGCTGAGAAGAGTTACTTCTCTGGTAAAAAAAAAAACAAACCTTCAGCCTGCTTTCTTTCAGGAAAGCCAGCAGGATGTTGTGTGCTTGAATGCAAACAATAAAGCTTTACACTAAGATAAGTTTTCTTCCATACACAACGTACAGTTCAAACACCAACTCTGAAATTGGGCAAGCACCCACAGTGCAGTTAGTAAACTGCAAACTGCATGTCTGCAGTTCAATAAACTGAGTCATGAGGTAAGGCTTGTTCCCATAAATGGCACAGCCTTAGATTTCCTAAGCAGCATGTAAGCAGCAATGGAACAAGGACACGAGTGTCTAGGGCAGGCTGGAAAAACATTGAATTTGGGAAGCGATGAACAGGAAGAAAGGAAGAAAAATAACACAGCCACACAAGCAAAGAGCACAGTTAGTTTTCAATGCCAAAATTAAAGGCACTTCTACAAAAAAAGACATCCAGGTGCAACACATGGTGATGCACAGCCTTGCTGGAGTGAACACACAGGTGGTTCTGTCTTCCTTTGGATGAGTCAGTGTGAGAGTGTTTCCACACTAAAACTCTGTGGTCACACACACTTAGCCCAGATTATTCATCTTCTTCCAAGAGCATATCCTTCTCCATGCTGCAAGAACGCATTCCACAGCACTGTCTCTCCACAGCAGCCTTTATTCTGGCATTTCATGACATTTGAGTGTTTGTATTTGAAACCTGACCGCTTGGAAAGGGGAAGAGGGCTATTTGGAATGAAACTGATATAAGGTTTGGTCACCTGGGGCTTCTTTCTGCAGCAAAATAGAACCATAAATATATTTAAGAATCCTAAGTCAGAATCCTCAAGTGACCAGGGCCAAGAGACAACTACACTGCTCTCTCATAAAGCCAAAGAGCTTTGGTCATTGTACCCACTAAACATGTCTGAGCATCAGATCTACTTCTTCTGTGTCATGAAATTAAAGGTGAATGATTTTATCGGCTTAAAATGTTCTACTTAGTTCTCTGTTTCATATTCATATGCTTATTTAGAAAAAAAGAAATTCTTTGCTTGACAGCACAGAGCTATGTGCAAAATCAAATAAAATTTCAAATGATCCCATGACCCAAATTAAGAGAGTTATGCTAATGTTCAAGGGGTCTAATATCAAACTGGAGAATACTTTTTCTATACTGATTCAGATACCAATAGTCCACCCTGGGGCCTGAACTGGCAGTCTACAAACCAATTTAACTTTGCCCACATGACTTGGAAAGGCTTGAAAAGTAGGCTTTAGAACAAAATTTGTGCTGTAATCCTAATGGCAGAGTAATGCTCCTTCGGAATTTTGCTAGTGTTCCAGACACAAATCTAAAGACACTCGCCTTGAGTAGTTTGATGAATAATCTCAACTAGCCAAAGAGAAAAGTCTCTATAATAGCTATATGGAAAGCTAAAACACACTGATTATTTCACTAAGATTGAACTTGCTGCCAAGCTACAGGTTTTTCAAACACTAGCTGAAGTCTTGAAAACCATGCCAAGGAAGCCCTTGTAAGGCAGAAAAGTCAAACCCTTAGGCTAAAAAATTGAAGCCTCCAGGCATTTTCCATATTTGCAGACAGATCTGACACCTGCACCAGGTGAGCTTTGTTCTTCTACTCAGCTCGAGCAGGACCAACCTTTCCCACTCCCACCAGGGGCCCATATTATCCATGAGGTTTTAGCCCTCTCAGAAAATGACTTCCCATCCAGACTGCTTGCTTGATATTAGCAAGGACTTTACAGGGTTATGCTGGTCTCAGGATAGCTTCAGTTGAAAGAGGTTTTCAAAAAGATGTGAATGGGATGACATCAATCCATGAGACTGCCACTCCTGCCTTGATTATTTTATTCATTCCACCAAAAACTTTCGCTATTAAAAAAGCTTTTCAGCTCCTGTTGAGCACTGAGTGTTAGTGCCTTCCAATGAGATGGAAAAAAAAAAAATCAATTACTGAAAATGATTTCTTACCCCAACATCTGCTCTTGGTTCCTTGTGGTCAGGTAGGACACTGGTGTGGACCTGAGAGAAGGGAGGGGAAAAAAAGGCAAGAAATAATCAAACTCCTTCTGTAAATCTCTCTGCAAAAGACTCATTTTTTTTCCCATGCCCTCAAAAGTGACCCTCAATTCTTCTATTCTAGCTGCAACTTAGTGCACAAAAAGAAACGCTCCTTTAATGTAAAGATAATTTAATTGTCTGTTTGTTATTCTAAATACATGTTGTTATAAAGCACCAATATAAAGGCTACCACAAAGACTTGACAAAGCAGAACCACAGCTTTTCTCAGCCAGCTCTTATCCCTTGATTTCCTACAGTGAGAACTTTGATTTTTCCACAAAAGCCTGGAGATAGTAAAAAAAATGCTATAATTAATTTATTAAGGGACAGCATACTTTAGAAATCTGTGGGAGTCCTCATATGGATGCAATTTTACATTTCGATTTTCCACACTAATACATTAGCAACTCCAAAGCATTTGGAAATCTACAGAAAGCTAGTATAAAATGTTCAATCATGATATTTTTATCTAAAATTAACCTTTAAATGCTTCACGCCCTGAATGAAAATGAAATTACTGGCATTTTCTTGTTGGTGATACCCATCTTTCCCTTTTGAAGCTGAGGAAATAACTTAGAGCAATCTGTTTCTTAAAAGAAAGATGGAGTATCAACACCAAACCAAAAATGCTGTGTCATTTTAAGATGCTAAAAAGCTGCTCTATGTGCCAGCCTCAAAGAAGTGACATCTGGCCCAACAACTGAGGTATTTATATTTTCTAATTATTATTATGGCTATTTATTCAAGAGAAATAAACTAATAATGTAAGAATTAACACTCCTTTTCATAATTTACTTACGTATTTGTAACCCAACAGCAGTTCATATTTTTAACAGTGTATGCGTTTTTATATGAGACTACGTTGTATTTCACAGCAAGAGAAAGCTAATGTTTCTTTTACACATACTGAAATCAAGGAAATTCAACATTAATTTAGAATCAAAGAATATTAATTCCTTCTTTTGCTGGATAAAATATCAATTCAGGAGAACATATTTCAGCTTTTCTGACCCAACACAGGAGCAGAAAGGGATGTCAACACCTGACTAACCTAGAGTCTTCCATATAATAAAAGCATATTCCTGAATTTCAAATGGACTTAAAATACAGAAAAAACTTCTGCTGCATTTTGCAATACTTTTTGGTTCAGCTATGTTTATTTGTTTTCATTGGGTTTTAACCCCTTTAAATTAGACTGTACATTAGACCGTACCTCTCTTCTTCCCAAAGTATATTTTGTTTGAAATTAAATCTAGTGCCTTGATCCAAGTGTGTGCAAATATCTGCAATTTCGGAAGCAGTTTTACTATTTGACATTTATCAAAAGAGAAGCCACATATGTGTATGTAAATACATACATGGGTGGTACAGGCTGAACACTATCAGGCTGTCTGTTGGTTGAGTTCCCGAACAAACTCTCTGAATGCTGCAATTACTGGGGTATCATTATGGGGTGTTCACACAGGCCTCATTATAAACATCAGGTCAGCTCATAAAAACATAAAACATAAGAAACGAGTCAGTTTTAGTCCCAGTCCACAAAATGGAAGAGAAAAAATGGGAGATAAATACAGAGGATTTGACAGGTCAAATATCCTCCCAGCGCATTTCTTGATTAAACAAACTGCCACACTTTTTAAAACCACGTCATAAATCAACTTTTCCCCTCTGGCCCCATCCAGAACAACTATAAAATCTAAAAGCAAACAGAAAGTCAGATTTTATTCCCAAACCTCCACTACTCTGTTAGAATTTCAGTTTTCCCATTACTCTCTCTAGGTTTTCCTGTGCAAAATGCAAACCTCTGAGTGGGGAGGTCATTCACAACCGGGGTAAGCCCATGCCTGCAGGGAATAGCACCACTACTGCTTTACCTTTGTGACACAAAGAGATCACAAAGGCACACAAGAAACACAGCTTGTGACCTGGACTAAATGCAGCAAAGGTTTTGGCATCTATCCATTCCTGTAATTTTGTGTGTAGAACAACACAGTTACCTTTTTACACCACAGTGGAGGCCTGTGAACCCACTGGGAAAAGGGCAGTGTGATGAAGGTTCGTGCAAGTGAAAGATGCACAAGAGTAGAGTTAGTTTTCAATGCCAAACACATCAGAGTCCAGGAGTTACGACTCCCTGGAATTTCCCAGTCAAACAAATTGCAGCTTTGTGTGTTTGTGCTGGGTGAGCCTAAAATGCCAAAACTGTTATGGGGTTCTGCCACAAAACCAATCAGTTTTTCCTACAGTCCATATAAAACAAAAGAGAAAATCTTTTCAAAATGGACATGCACGTGGTATTGCGGGATTCTACAGTTCCAATGGAAAACCTGATAGGCAGCGAAACTAATAAATGTTAAAACTTCATTAAAGATGAAAACTAATAAAGGGAATATAAGATTTATCAAATTACTGCAACATTGCATAATAACTGCATGATTTTTATTATATATTAATTAGTTTAAACTTACAAAATATTTATATATATATATATATATATATATATATATATATATATATATATATGTGCCTGTGTGTGTATATATATATATATATATATATTTCCTACTACAGATAGTAGGGAAAATATGTATGCCCCTATCACTTGCTGTATAGCAACTGATATGGCACGAGAGAAGAATCACGAGATCCCCCAAGCAAAGACTGAGTTTAACATAAATCTAAATAATTTTAATATGTTTTTAGTATATGCAACGAAAAAAATGGAAGGAAGGAAGAGTTTATTTACCTTCTTAACACAGCACACAGCGTGAGACTGGATTCAATTTTTTTAACCAATTTGAAACAGCATTTTTTCTGCAGAGAAAGCTTTGTCACGTAAGGTTATGCCACAGATAAAAAGTGACAAAGAAAAACGTGTATAACTGTGACAGGGACACTCAGGCATCCCAGTGCCCCACAGTGATGAGTGCTGACTGGCACAGACTGTTATGGTTTAGGCCTGGCAAAGCCAAGGCCCCCATAAATATACCTTTTACCTGATATCTGCTGTGAGATGTGGCCAGGAAATAAGCAAAGCAGGCTCCAACTTAAACATAAAGAGAAGTTTATTAACTAAACTACACACACAATTACTAAACTACACACACAATTACTAACCTACACACACACAGGGAAAAAACCAAGGAGAATGAGAACTACACAGAAACACTTCCTTATCCTCCTCCCACCAAATTCCCAAACACATTTACATTTCCCAAAAAATTATCCACACTCGGTCTGGCACCACCCTTTGGAAAAAAAAATCAAATCTTCAGCTCATAAGGGATAGACGGAGTCCTTCCTTGTGCCACGGACTTCTTGTCACAATCAGCAATCCGCCCGGTATCTTGCTACCTCGTGACATCTCCTTTCCATGCCGAGGTGCTCTCACCACCTGGCATGGGATGGGGCAGGGGCCTGCCTTCAGGGCCTTTTAAGAATGCCTCGTCTCGTTCCAAGCAGAGTACAGTCACAATCCTGGGACCTCTGTCCCCCCCATGTCTTCTATACCCCCTGGGGCCGAGGGGTCTCAAAACCAAACTCTCTTGACGCCGAGCCTCCGCTTCCCCCTGCAATACAGCCTCTGCCTCACCAGGAAACAGTCCATGGAAATACAACAAAAAAGAGTCCAGCAAAAACTGCCACTCCATCTTCCTCCATTCCTTCAACATCTCTCTTCTCCCTTTGCCAGACCCTCCTTACTGGCCTAATTTTCTTCCTTCATCTTCCACTCCTGTCCCTTTCCCAGGAAAGGCAATGTTCTGCGAAGCCTTCATTCCCCAAAGGGTTAAAAGTTCTCCCAGGCGGCCGGACTGCCCGCTGCCCCCCCCCCCCCTTTCTCCTCCCAGCCGTGCTGCCTGCCGGCACATGATATCAAGTTTCAAGATATACAGTTCGAGCACGGGCTGCATTCTCTGGGGGGGGGGGGGGAATAAACTGGTCGCTCAAGGGTCTGCCACCCTTCCTCCGAACCCGGGCCTACCGTAGATGGCCCACGTGGCTCTCCCCTCCCCCAGCCCAGCCAGAAACTGGGCCGGGGGAGAGACTTCTTCACGCCGGAAATCCCAAGAGGGCTCCGAAGGCCAAGAGCCCTGCTTTTAACCCCTTGAGTTCGTAGTCTCAAGAGGCGGATCCAAATGTCCCACTGGTCAAACTAAGTGCCCATCTTAAATTCCAATTACCCATTGGTAATCACAGCAAAACAAAATATCCCAGATGTCCCATTTCCGGTCAAACCACGACACAGACCCACTGGGGTTTTTTTAAGCAGTTGAATTTTTGCAATCCATGACCACTGGTAGCAAGCTAATGAGCCACAGGCTTTTTCTGCCATTTTTCAGGCTTTTTTGAACAAAGCCCAATGATGCAAAGTAGCCTTCTAAAGTCTTAATAGGTACTGAATATTCTAAGCATTTGGTCAGTTATAATTTTAATGAAATAGAGCAGAAAATCACATTTAAGTCTGTAGCTGTTACAATCAGCCAGTTAGCCTTGCCTCCTCCCCATAATAATTCCCAGGAATGAACCTGTTGAAGTCTGTTTTATGCTGGGAACAATCTGCAAAATTTGAAGAGTAAAAATACCCTTCAAAGTGCTTGCGGTGCCTCCTCTTTCCAGCTTTCTTCCACTGTGAAATAAAATTCACAAAAAGCAAATTCTGGCTTCTGTCAGCAAGCTACAGCTGGAGCATTCCTAAGCTCTTCTGGCTCTTCATTTACATGGAGCAGGCAATGGGGACCTGTGTTCCCAGATCCAAACACCTCAGCCTAGTCACTGCAATGGCACTATTCAAAAATCCCCAAGACAGACTCCACAGTCCAAACAAGGCAGCAGCTAATGGCAGCCAAAGAAATCCAGATGTTCTGACAAATTATATCCCAAAAAATACTCACTCTAGTGCGATGAAGGAAATAGGAAACTTGAGAGGATGCAAGCCCAAGCTGGTAAAAAGCTCCTACAGT